ACTTTTCATATCATAGATCTTTAATACAGGTTGATATTTAAAAGTTAACGTTTTTTATCAGTGGAATTTGATTTCCCTGGTGCAACATTTCGTGCAACCTGCCCCCCGCATCGTTTGCATTTTCGTAAAAGTTTTTCGCTTTGTGTTTGCGTTGAGGATTTTCGCATTTTCGAATTCAATTCCGTTTCAAGCGGCGCGTAGCTGCGAACTCAATTTGCTGCGCTTGACAAATTCCAATGACAAAGAATTTTTCCTCTCCGGAAGTTTGTTATTAGCCGCTCGCATCCGGCTGCCACAGTCGCTGGATGGATTCGATGACCCAGCACAGTGGCCAACGGAGTGCCGAGTGCCGAGCGTCCCAGTCCCCGCTGTTCGCGCATCTTATCCGCGCAGGCGTCTACGGTGCGTATACGTAACGTGGTGTATTTCGGGGAAATACACACGCTCGTGTGTGTTTGGCTAGCTGCGGTTGAATGTGGCTGCCTGCGCCTTGGAAAACACTTTTCGCAGTGCATTCATTTTGCATGTCGCCCGGCCTGACAGTTGATTGCCTGTCAGCGGTGGGCTGCCGGATTGGCGGACCAAACTGACCCACATTCGAGTGGTGCGGCGGTGGTGGTGGTGCTGTCGATGCGAAAGTGTGGGAGTGGGTGTGGGTGTGAGTGCGATGCAGCTTTTGTGAATGATGTGGCCGACCCACACACAAACTCTCACGTTCTAGCCCCAATCTCTGCACTCGTTTTCCTATCAATTGTAATGCGTTTTTAATGGCAATGCCTTATCTGTTTGTGTCATCGGCACTGGGCTATTAAACATATTCATAATGCGACCCCAACCAATTCCCTTTGTTTCGTTCCGTTGATTCGAACGGCTTGATAAACAAACATTTGCTCGAGCGCCATTGTGTTGGACCGTTATCATTCATAATGTTTGTCTGTCATGCCAGCCGGTCCCGCAGCGCTTTTGAGTTGGGTCCGGTCCACTGGCCTCCGCTCCTTGTGATTGGCACTTTGCTGGCATTTCGTTTCATTTGCCACTCGCTTTCCCTAAATAGTCCTGCGTCCGTAATTGTTATCGATGCCGGGATTAGGGGCCTCTCGGGCGAGTGTGCGTGGGAGTCAAGTGAAGGCTTAAGTGGTTCAGTGGAAATGATTTGAGTGGGATTCACTTAGCCGGCTGCTGGCCGAGGTCTTCCCCGTTGTCCCTGAGAAGCCCTTAACAGGATTAAAGGGCTAGTAGGGAGTTGAAAACATAACGAAGCTCATCTAGCAAAGCTCTTGTATCGATGACTAAACAAGCTTTGAATGCCGGTTGGCATTCGACTGGAGGCTTGAGTGAGGGAATCGAAAATAAAGGATTAGGAGTTAAGTGGTTGTATTGGTTTGACAGATCAAGTTCCTAAGTTTTTCTTTAAATGGTGTTTGTTAATTTAATGGAAATAAAATAATTTTTTTTTATTTTCTAATTGCTTTTTATGTTTTGTTGAAATATGTGATCATCTTTTTATTAATGGGGGTACAATTAATCTTTGTGCATTCTTCTGAAGTTTCGTTGGACAAATTAGAGATACATAGAAGCTTTTCAATTAATTACTATCAATTTCGCTGGATTTTAACAACCAGTTCGCTTGTGCAATCAATTATGTGAACCGAATGTCCTGGACAAGTTCAAGACCGCTCGGGCGAAATCACATCTGGCAACGCCGGCCCAGCGGCCCAGCAGACGTCTTCCACATTCCGCTCGACAGTTTCAGCGACAGCGGGATCTGCTGGCATCCTGGCATCCTGGCGCGTATCAAACTCAATTCCCCAAATCCCGACTGCCAATTTTTCCGTGTTAAATAATTCAAATACATACACACACGGAGAGCACGGCGGACAGCACGCAAACGCACACCAGTGTCCGAGTGCCGAAGTTTTCCGAGCGAGAGCTTTCGCTCCCGTTACACAAGAAAGTTTTCCGACTGCGGGAGCGAGTGCGGGGGTGTGTGTGCGCTGTGTGTGAGGGACTTTTCCTGTTTGTGAATGTATTGCTCCAATTTCGAGAATGGAGATGTTTCGCCGCAACTTCGGCTCGCTTTTCCCGTTTCCCGACCTCGGGGTGCGCTCGCCGGGCCAGCGGATTCAATACGCAAGGTTCAGTTGAGCGCGCCGGACGTTCGACTCGTGGTCCGTTCGTCGAAGCACCGTTATAGCAGCAGCGTCGTGCGTGCGTAGTAGTACACGACCGCATACACACACATACACAGCTGCAGAGCTCGTGGCGTGTAGTAAAACTCATTAAAAAGCAACTTATTCAATACTATTTCACGCACGCGGGGGCGGCGGCGGCGGAAAAACGCGCGCGCTCAACAGAGGTCCTCGAGAAGCGAGTCGAACGGCATTCTCGTCATCGCCGCGGGCGGACTCTGAAAATTATTGCACAAAAGCGAACGAAGCGCGGCGATAAAAGTTAAATGTCGCGTTAAATTGCCTCGCTCGCTCGATCAATACGAAAAAAGGCGAAAAGGGCCAGCGCAGGAAAACGGCAGTCAATTAAAACGGTCTTAGGGAATACATACATATTATTTTTTCAAGGCGAAAGCAAATGTATAACTAGGTAAACAAGCACCATCCAAAACGGTAGAGCCTAGAGCACGTGTCCTTGTGTGAAATGCGTGTGTGTGTGAGTGTCAAGCGAAATGTAATTTATTGGGGCCAGACAACGCTGCGTATACGCAACGGCTTATTCATTTTTGTGCCTGCCTTCCCATTTTTTTGGACTGTCCCATATACAGACAAAATTTGTGTTGCTAAATGCGCGCGCTCACGCCCCCTCACACACACAAAAGCAGATATATCCATCCCACCCCTCCTCTGACTTTCCTCTTTCCACACACAATCACACACACACAAGGGGAAAAGGGCACATGGCGCTGGAGCAGACGCACACACTTAAGGTTCAACAGCCCGACGATTGCCTGGCAAGGATAACGGAGTAAGGACCAGGAGCGGGGATCGGGGTTCGGGGAGTAAGGGGACGTGGGCCGCCCCAAAGCAGCCATTAACTTCGACAACGCTAACCCACGTAGCTTGGCCCGCGTTGCGTATACGCCGCGTTGCCCGTTGCCAAACTCTCGAGGATTTTCGGGGCTTCATCTTTTGTCTGCAAAAGTGGCAAAATGTAATCTTTGGCATTTACTTGCCGCTGTCGGCCTTAGCACGTCTGTAGAGTAAACCCACCGCCATCAGACCAACCCCCTACAGAACGCCTCTGGTTCTGCCTCTGCCTGTGCCCAGTTAATATTGCCAAAGCAGCCGCGCGGGAAATGTAACTAGAGCTGGCGGCATTGTTTTTATCTACACTTAGAGAAAATCCCCGCATAGTTCCCTTTGAAATCCCCTTTCACCCAGACGGGATCGGTGGTTACCCAAACGGAAAAATCATGCTTCCTTTCTTGAAATTCTATGTGTCCTTTAGTTTCACACTAAAGGAAGAAATCGATTCCGTATCAACTAATGTTCCAAAAAAAAACACTTTTTTAGTGTCCTCTCAGCCATCTCATTCGCTTCATCAAGTTTCACCAGGGTCAGAAAATCAGCAAGGGTGAGGATTCTGTTACCATGGGCAATTATTCCGCTGAAATTTCGCAAACTTCACAGGCTGCTACGGCAAAAAGATGGTAATTAAAATGATAAAATGAAAGATTTTCAAAATTGTGCGGCATTCATCTTTAGCCGAAGAAACTTCAAGTTGAAGAAATTTAATTTCGATTTATCTGACTCACTCGGATAATCTGTATTCCTTTGGGAATTTTAACTTGTTTTAGTAATCTGTCAGTCTGAGTAAAAGCTTTTTGAAAACTATTTTCTTTTGATGATTTCTTTGACATCCTTCTGCTTTCTGTCTTATGACAAAGTTCCGTCTTAGCTATGTTTTTAATATTTAAATTAATTTAAACAACCTGGAGTTATTTTCATTTAGAATTCAAAAAGTTGTGTTTCTTTTTCTTGTTTGCAATAATCTTTCTTATTAAATCTTTCTTTATTGAAAGTCAGCAATGGCTTTTAACACTCTCGAAGGTGAGCTATATTTCTGTGCGCTTTAAAAGGGAAAACCATTTTTCTTTTCCACCTTCTTACGTTGCTCTCCACAAATTAGTGGAGCCACCTTTTGTTTCCGTGCCCCTTTTTAATTTAGTATGCCTGGAATTAATGAAATTTTCGCACGGCCAGACGAAATTATTTTCGCCGGGCTCGGAGGCGTGAAGTGGAATACTCGGAGCCCGGGGGCGGCTCCGCTTGCTCCGCATCCTTATCTTTGGCTGGCACTCTGCCCGACGGGATCCAGTGGGGGTGGGGCAGACCGCACTTAAAGAGCCATTTAAATCAATTGTGTAGAAATTTTGAAATCGTTTTGGCAAGCGGCGAGCGGAGATGGAGGGCCGCCGCTCGAAATTCGCCATTGGCAGAGAAGCGTGAAAGGCAAACATAAATATTTCGCTTGGCAACAAAAGGCGGCCAAGACGGAAGACCCACCACACACACACACATTGCAGCCAGGCTAGGGGTCAGGGGTCAGAGGGCGTCTGGCAGATATACAGGCACACTAATAGATACAGTTATCACGACTCTTGTGTGCTTAGAGAATGGAAAGCGGATAAGGCCATAACCGAGCGAATCAAAACGAAACAAAACGAAGGAATGATACTATTGGAACTAAGCCTTAGGACGTGTGCGGGAGCAACAAAATACGTATCAAATTATAGCCTAAGTAGCAGTTACGAAACCACCGAACCACGAGCAAGGATAAAGCATACAGCGAATTAGGTATACAGAAAGCACAACTCGAATCGAAAAGAATTGAATCGAAAGCAATCGAATCTGGTGCCGCGAGGTGCTAGAACTATCGTATAACTCAGAGAACTCAACATATCCCTTCGAGCGTCCACATACAGTGGACGAACCGTTTCTATATCTCACCTTCGACGCGAAACAAGCAAGTTGGCTGCAACAAAATTAATGTGTGATAGCGCCACCACAGGATGTTTCCTGACCAGAAGCAGCCATCGCAAGGTGAGTGTGTTGAGTGCTGAATGTTGTGTGTGGCTTATTTATTAATAGCATATTAAGTAATGCGGCCTGGGGCCTACATTGCCCTGGGAGCAAAGCCGCAAATCCGTGAAAGCAAATCACATGTATTACTCCGATAATGAGCTCACAATTTATGTGCTCCTTCATTGGAATCCGCATCATGTATGGCCTTTACACGATTTAAGATTACCATCTAAATTCAAGACTGGCGACCCATTAATTTTGCATATTTCAGGCTTTGTTCAGAAACATATTATACGTACGTATTACAGCGAAATGCGTAAAATGGGTAAAAGTACTTAAATAAATTAATCTTAAAGGGCTGATTTAAAATTGATTTTTATTTTAGCACATTTTATACAAAATCTATTGTGTTCCGAACTCGTTGGAAAGTTTAGTAGCTAGTTGTATACATTTTGTGCATAGAATCATAGTTTGTGTTGCTATTATTAGAAAATATGCATGTAGTATGATGGATCCATGGAATTCTCGCCCAGTATATATAGAATTTTAAGCTTCAGCATTTGTCTGCTCAGGGAGCTAATACACTTTGAAATATAAAACATGCATAAAAGTTGAAGTGTGCTGCTGGGGACGAAGAGTGTTTGTGTGCTTGAAGTGATTCGGGTTCTTAGCTTCTGGGGGAATATTGAGTTAGATCCGCGTCAAAGGAAATATTTCCGCAACATCACGGTGTAGTTGTTGTGCTCTTGTGTGGAAAATTCCGAGGGGCCGGTTCAACTACATCCACATCAATAATAACCGTCGCCCTATAAAGCGCTTGAAATGTTATAAGTCTGCATGGAGTACGCAGGTCCCGCCGCCCACTCCACATGGGATGACGAGTGCCTTCAGCCAGAAGCGAGCGAATTTGCATGACATTTTCGTATATACTTTTGTGTATTTCACTTTAATATTTATGTATATGGATCGGTATGCAAATATTGCCTTTTGCACGCTCCGCAGTTGCGACTATTAGCCGGTTAAGCCCCTGTGCCCCGTGTTATTTTCATTTTTCCTTCTGTTATAAACGATTCGCCTTTGTTTCCCCCTTGCATTTTTAATTTTAATTTTTCTCTTTTTTTCTGGAAAACATTGGATTTTTATTTGTGTGCGTACATTCATGCGGATGAATGAATAAATAAATATGCGTAAAACAAATAATAATGCATATTTCATGGATGCGCGCAGCAGAGGCCAACGAACCACACCGAATTTTCTACTTTAAGGGGCATCAGGAAGAAAAAACCTGAATGATAAATAAACCAACTCTGAACTTTTGTTGATAGAACGGAGCAACACGGCCGTTGCCCCTGGGCCATTCGCCATCCATTGAGAACCCACTTAGACACATAATCGCTTTTTGTTTATTTACACACGTATACATTCGGGCAGCCGCAGATTGCAACTTTCAACTACTTTGGCCGACGGCGAAGGGTGCTTGAAATATTGAAATAAAATTCCATTAAGTATGCAGCCCTTGGACCGGCGCTAAAAATATTTGCATAGATAATGGCGGCACGAAACTGTTTGCGTACTTCTTTCATTCGGCTGGGTAATTAAAATTTTTGGGGAAGCCAAAGCTGGGCACTCAAAACATTTAAGTTCACTTTGAAAAACTATAAAACATTTTATTTTGAGGTACTTTATTGATTAAAAAGGGTTCGAAAAATAATTATTAACAAGGCTTAGCATTATATTTATACATTTAATTTAGAGTTTTAGCCCTTATTGAGCTGATAGTTAAAATATGTTTATTTTCTCAAAATTTGCATCTTTGATAACATTGATAAAGTCCTACTATTAACGGTGATATATTTTTAAAAATGCAATCAGGGTTTTTTTAAAAAAAGTGTCTTAATAAATTAAGAAAGAAGTAAGTTCTTTTTGACTCTTGAACATTTTTTTTTTCAAGTGCACACTTCACTGTGCGCATGGGAATCCTTCTTGCTCCCCGCCTCCTTTCTTCCCCCGCCCCTTCTCCACTCATATCGGTGTCCTTGTGCCTCTGAGTGATGTGAGTGGCCGGAGCCAGTGAAAGGTTTGTCCTGCACTCTTGCCACTCAGCCTTTCGGGCTGGATATCTTCACGCTTCATCCTGTCCTGCCCGACACTTTTGATTGGATGGAGGCTTAAGGCCTTTGATGCCATGATATCCTGATATCCTGGCACTCGGCTTAGCTGTGGACGTGTGGGTGGCCGTGTGTGTGTGCAGCCGACCCGGATCTAATTGCATAATGCGATGCTTGGAATGCGTTTGACGCCATCTTGGCATGCCCTATTGTCTGCTCCTGGCGAATTTGAATTTAATCAATAAATCACGTATACGCCGGGTGGGCTGTGCCCATGAAAGTGCGGGCAGTACTCCCAAACCCATTTCCATTCACGTTTCCATTCCCGTTCCCATTCCCGTGCTCCCAGCCGTCTGCTCGGCTGTCGGAGTCACCGCCACAATGCGGCTTGTGTCACTTGTGTTGTCGTCGTGGTTGTTGCCTTGTTGTTTGCCTTAATTTGCGGTTATCTCGACTGGCGCCCCTGCACCGTCCAAATCCAAAGCAATCCAATCTGATTCGACTCGAGCCCCAGCTCCTGGCTCCTCGCTCCTCGCTCCTGTACCGCCGCCACTGGGTGGCGATGTGAATGCGCCCGGTTCTCTGGGCTTGTGCCACATATTTTGACATTAGCGCAGCTGCAACTGACAACTATTATTAACATGGGAGCGGAAAGTTGTGCATTTGGCATTTAATTGTAATCGTTGTCAGTGGATTCGGTGAATTCCGGATGAGAGCCGAGTGACGGGTAATTGGCATGGAGGAATGGAGGCGCCGCCCAGGGAGTTCCACAGGGCATTTAAATTTATAATTATCCGGCCTTTGTTTGCGGCTCAGGTGGAATTCGGTTTTGGTTTCGGTTCAGGTATCCGTTCGGTTCGCTGTGCATTGTTCTATTATTTCCCGGAATAGTTCGGCCCAAGGAAATTGTTTTGTATGGCCAACGTTATGAATGCCAAATGAATGCCCAAATGAAAGCCAAAACCCGGGAGCAGAACAACAAATCCTTGATCCACGTGCCGACCGGAATACAATTTGTTTTCGGGAACAAATTATACAACGAATTGTTAACAAAATGCTGTGGTGGATTTCCTGAAAATTATTCCCCAGAACATGAAACATTATGTTGGGTGGACAATTTAGTGGTTAGGCTGTGAGCACGTTATGGCCATTAAAAGTTGATGGGCAGACAAATTTTCCGAGAACTCTGGGCCTTCATTGAAGGGCCGTTCCTGGCTCTCCCTTCGCTGGCTAAGTAATTCGATCAGTTTGAGCACCATTAGACAAATAACATGACTTGCTGTTTTGTATAGAGTTATTAATTACTCGGCGTTGGCAAAACAAAATCAATTTCATCAATTCGAATGGCCGCAAAGCCAAGGCAATTATTCTCCCTTTTGTTTGGGCAATCTGAGCAGCGTCCGGGTGAATTGACAAAGGGATCGGGCCAGGCAAGCCCATCATGCTAAATCACACGCTCTGCCAATCAATCAATGCGTCGGACAATCAATCACCCGGGGGGGAAGTGAAGGGGCAGGGCGGGACAGCTGGCAGACACAAGTCAACCACGAAAAACAGTGGCAATCCTGGCTGGAAGCGAACTTGGGCTAAGTCATTACAATTATGGCTAGTCAATTATTAACCTGGCTAGGGAAATGACGCACTCTTCCGCCGCATTCGGCGAAACATGACCTTCCGAAATAATTAGTCCAAACCGAACTGGGTGCACTGAGGGAAAACCCAAGAGTGTTCTCCTCTTAAGCTGCAAATTGTAATTAGCCCTTTTCTAAAATAGGAAGTTCTTTGTTTTCTAAAATGTCTAATTTATCTCAAGACCCTTTCTAATCCCAATGATTTCTAAGATTTACTTTAAACACTACTATATCACCCTGGGAGTGCTTTCACTTCTGATAGTTTATGGCAGTTAATGGCGTCTGCGCTGACATAATTACAATTTTAGTCAATTTCCGTTTTCGGGTGTTTATTTTTTTATTTGGCTGTAGAGGCACTAAAATGATTTTATTGATTTGTGTTGTCACGCAACTTCCTCTAATGGCTTCTTCCGTCTCCCTCGTTCCGTCGCCCCGTCCCTCTCGCTCTCGCTCTGCCGTAGGTCCTTTCCAAATTAGTTTTTCCTCCCAACAGAAACTGCCAGTCAGAAGAATCATCCATAATTAAAAAAGCTTGCCAAAGTCAGTCCTCAATATGTGATGTCTTGAGGATTTTCAATTAGTTGTCGTCACCCGGCGGGCGGCGAATAAAAGGAGTGGGTGGCGGGCGGAGCTGGGGGTTTCCATAGGCTCGCTGCTTAGTCAGCAGCAGCAGCAACATAATGAAGTTGAAATGAGTTTAAACAGGCGGCCCAGCCCCCAGAGAGGGTTCAGCCACGGTCTTCCGTGAGTCACATGTGCGCCAGACGTTGACTAAAGACGCTTAATGTAAGCCCGCCTGGTAATTTGCATTTGCCGCAGCAGCACTCCTCCGCTTTGGCAGGCAATTTCCTACTTCCCCCTAACTTATTGGATTTGCCGGTTAATAAACTATGCACTTACTAATTAAGTGCGCGACTCGCTGTAAATAACTTATGGCCGCAAAGTGAGTGGAAGCCGCCTCCAGCTATGCAGCTGAATTTTACAAAAAGAAAACGAGGCAAGGAGTCTAGTTTCGCTTACATACGCTTAAAATAGCCCTGAAAGAAATGGCTTTTTAAAGGTAACAGTATGAGTTCAGCCAGTTTCGTTAGCCAGCATGGGTACTGAGTTTAAAATATGTAGGTATAATACGATGCAATATTCCAAAGTCAAACCGATGTGATATATGTACAATGTATATTGTACTTATGGCATTTAAATGATGTAGAAGAAGCTTATCCTAGTTCAAACTTGTGAAAATCTTTGCTAACGCATGGAAAGGCGTCGGAAAATAATGAATAATAGAGTTTTAACTTGTTCGAGTGACAAGGAAAGTGCGGCAAGTCTGAGAAATGATTATACCGAACTTGACGCCCCTAAGGAGGAGAGAGGGGGTTAAGGGTCGAGGACAGGACTCTGACTGCCCACACGTGGGTGCATAAATTTCCCGCTGACAGCCTCGGACGGAGGGTGTTTGCTGTTGCTTTGGCACTTCATGTGTCCATTTAGGACCCGCTCTCCTTAGGACCCAAGCTCCTCCGGCCCAAGCGGACCTGCACGCGATGCACACCATCTATATTTATTGTTTTTGTTGGCGTAGTCGGGCCGTTCTCGTTAGCAAACAGCAACAACAAAGAGAAGCCATCAACAATGTGCCGCCTTCTTGTCCTTTGTGCCGCCCGGCAAGTCCTTTTTATTGAATACAGTTGTTCGGCCAAGACCACGCCCAGTTTTACCCCACACACTCACGCAAGAGGGTGTTCTCAACGAGGAAGAAAGCACAAATGGACATTTTTTGTGCCCTGCGGCCTGTGTGTTAATGATGCCTCGGTATTTCGCCTGAATTATTTATTTGGTTATGCATTTGCAGTTGGCAAAGTGCAAACAAACACCGAAATACCATTACAGTAAACACACTTTAATAGTTTAATGCCAGTTGGCCAGAAACTTTTCCAGCAATTGCCCAAAGGGCTACGATTGAAGGAAAACAGAAATTTCACTCTAGATGGCCTATATATATTCTAGGGCAAAACAGTGCCAGTATCAACGAATTTTAAGCATAAAAAGTGACAGGCGAAGTGAAACTACAAAATACTAAAATGAAAGTCTAAAAGTATAGTTTTATTTATAAGTTATTATTTAAATGGAAGTGTAAGCTAGAAGATATTCTTCCAAAATGTGTAGTTTTTACACAGATTTTCGGAGAGCATATAATAATGCTATTTGACTAACAGCAAATGGACGGAGCAGGCGCGAGGGCCAAAACTTCTGCCCTAACGACATCTCTCTTGTTGCTTCTGCTGATGCTGCAAGTTTGGCAAAGTTACACAACAGCAACAACAGTGAGGAGGACAGGGCGTGGGAACTGGGGGCAGACAGCCACCGACACATGTCAAAGTTTCGCAATTTCAAAGATTTCTTCTTCCCCCGGATTTCTTTTTTGGTGGCCGTTGCGAACATGATTTTTGGCAACCGAAGAGCCGAGCCGAGGGTCACTTGAGGAGATGTTGCTGTTGGAGAGCAAGTGCAACTTGCTGCTGACCGCAATTTGTGTGCCCGCACACCCTTTTCCCAGCATTAATCCATTAAAAACTTCGCTTAGCTTGCGCCAGGCAACTTCATTTAAAACCAATTTCATGGGCGTCCCTCACACAACCGGGAAAATCAAAGTTGCACATTGTTGCCGTGGCTGTGGGTTGCCCCTTCCGGCGGGGGCAGCGAAAGGGATTGGACTTTCCCTCATCAACTTCTGACCGTGTGACATCATCGCCGAACGTCACGTGCCGGGTACAGTCGTCCTGGAGCTTTGCATGACGCTGCGACCGAGTGATGTGGCACTGACAGAAATTACAGTTGCCGCAAGTCCCGGCAAAGTGAGTGACGAAATAATTATTGCATACTTTCTAGGGCGACCGTAGGATAAGGGGCCAGTTTGATTGGACGAGTTAACACTACATTTGCCAGTAAACTGAGTTACTGTGGAAAAAGAACCACCAAATAAGCCTAACATTTAAAGGGTTTAAACTTCCATTTTTAAAAGACATCCAAATTTAGAAATTTTTTATCAGTTTTCTTTAATATTAATGCCTTTAAAAGTTATAGAGGTTAAAGAGTGTGGGACAGTCTTCTTCGGCCCAGAAAGCGTTTATAAAACTAAACTGCGCCAAATTAGCTTAATTAATGCAAAGCTAAATCTTTTAGCGAAGCTCAAGTGCAGAAGCTGCAGCAGCTGGGGCAACAATTAGTTTAATTTATGCAGCAGCGCGTGGCACTCAGATTTGCATAAAGGCCCGCCGACGAGGATGAATATGAACTAACGAGAAACTATTTCCCCATTTCTGGTTGCAGGAGAATGGAAGATCAGTTCCTGATGTCACTGCCAGCCCGGGACGCGCTCCTCCCGGCCCGCTGCCCGCCAATCAGCTGTCCTCGCTGGGCAACCAGCAACATCATGGCAACCAGCAGCATCACGGCAACCAACAACATCATGGAAACCAGGGCAACCACCGCGGCCCAAGCGGTAGTCTGTCGAACGCCGCAGGGGTCAAGGACCCGGTGATGCTCCAGGGCGACTTCCGCAAGGTCAGCGGCATCAGCTCGGAGATCTTCCGCCAGATAGAGGCCGTCGAGAATGACCACGACCCCAACACGGCCGCGGCTCTGGAGGCAGTGGAGCGTCGCGGGGAGATGATCGTGCGCGTCCTGGAGCCGCGATGCATGGGCAGCAAGCAGGCGGTGGATGCCGCCCACAAGCTGATGAACAAGGCGGACGGACGACACACTGTGCAGCTGGTGGAGATCGTCAAGCGGCCTGGTCAGACGCTGGGCCTGTACATCCGCGAGGGCAACGGTGCGGATCGTACCGACGGCGTGTTCATCTCACGGATTGCCCTTGAGTCTGCGGTTTACAACAGCGGCTGCCTGAGGGTAAGTTTATTGTTAAGCCTGAGGAAAGCATCCTCTTAAAGCATTGTTTCTCTTTAGGTGGGCGATGAAATCCTGGCGGTGAACCTGGTGGATGTTACCCACATGTCCTTGGACGACGTCGTCATCATTATGTCAATTCCGCGCCGCCTGGTGCTGGCGATACGGCAGCGGCGTGGCAATCGCGGTACAGGATCCCCCGGACCGCCGACGCTCTCACGGCCGGAACAGAAACCGCCACCGGTTGTTGTGATCAAGCGGGATCTGCGGGACGAGGATCTAGACGAGACGGACCGGATGCCGAGACCGCGCTCATCACGTGAAAGACGTACAGGTAGTTTGAAATGGGCGCCGTGTTCGTCAGACTAATCGGTTGCCTCTCTTCTATTTCTTCCAGGAGATGGTCGCGAAATGACGGAGTCGCGATCTCGCTTAGGTCTGGGGCTCAACAACTATAGTCCGCAGTCAGAGCAACTGGATATGTACTACAACACCCGCGGCGGAGGTGGAGGCGGAGCCATGGGTGAGCCGCCGAACTGGGGCTACAAGCCGCCACCGCCACCTTCTTCGGTGATTACGGAGCAGCCGACGAAAGGCCATGCTTTTGCTCCATCGCACGCTTACTACCAGAATGCTGGCACCCTGGAGAGCCTGGCGGAGAAGGTACACGCCTTCTATCCCGGACAGCCCGGCGCTCCGCCTGTGGGTCCCTCGAGAAGAATGTCCACGGGCACTGGCAACGTAGGCCTCGCTCAACAACACGCCAGATTCCCGCGGTCTGGTTCGGATCAGCATTTACCTCGCGTTGAATATGCGGACTACTCCAACTCTCTGGGACGGCATTCCCTTCTGCGGTCGAGTTTGAAGCCAGGAACGGCTGGAGGAGCTCCAATGCCAGTGGGAGTGGGTGGCACTCTGGGCCGATACGGACGCTACGATCAACAGAGAGCAGGTGTATCCAAGTACGGTCCACCAGCTGGCGGAGCTCAGTCGCTGACTCGACGCTCCCGACCAAATCTGGACTATTCCAGCGATACGGAGGCTACAATTGGACCGAGGCCAAGTTACTACTACTATAACAGACCCGCCATCGGCAGCATGCCAAGGGGAGCGGGTGGAGCAGGCGGGGAGTGGGTGCAGCTGCCGCAGCTGCCTTGTTGGCCGGAGCCACGGATCTCAATAAATTCAATTCGTTGCCCCGGGAGCGACCAGGAGTAAGATTGCAGGGCATTCGCTCCAGGATGGGAGACCGTTTGGTGGATGAGAACGACGGCAACACTTCGGCACCCGAATTCGACGCGAGGAGAGGCAGGGACCTGCGGCAGCGAATAACCGCCAGTCCGTCGATATTCACGGCGGACGAGTATCGCGCCTGGCTAAGAAGGGCACCTAGCAGCTCTGCGATTGCGGAACAAATGCGAATGACTCGGGACATGTTTGCCCAGCCGCGGGCTCAGCGATTCTCCTGCAGCGCAGAGAACATCCACGATGCTCTGAGGAATGTAAGTATTAATTTTTCAAATAAATATCCGATACTATTTCATGACGATATTATTTTTCCTAAAGACGGAGAGCATCTACTCGAGTAGAACCCACATCCTCGGCACGGGAACTCTCGATCGGAACATGGGTCTTACTCGGCCTATTTCTGCACTACCCGTGAGATCTATGTCCTCGCAGCACATTGGAGGAGCGGGATCCATTCGTTCGCCCAGCATACGACGCATGAGGCAGCTACTGGAACTATCCGCTGGTCCTGCTAGTCCCAGCGGAAGTATCCTTAGCACCGGTGGCCACCAGAGTCCGGCACCCACACCAAGTGCAACGTTGCCACGCCCACACCGTCAGATCGACATCAACCCGGCGGAGTTTGCGAAGTACAAGCTGGATAAGCCCATCGTGGATATCGGAGGGATCTCCGGCATGTTGTGGATTCATTTGCTCGCAGGTCGCGGCCTTAGAACAGCTCCAGAGGGAGCTGGAGGGCAGGCGCCACCAGGCCAAACCAGAGACCTCTATTGCGTCATCGAGTGCGATCGCGTACACAAAGCGCGCACCGTGGTGCGTTCCGGTGACCTACAGTTCGACTGGGACGAGTCGTTCGAGCTGGACTTGGTGGGCAACAAGCAGTTGGACGTACTAGTCTACTCTTGGGATCCGCAGCACAGGCACAAGCTGTGCTATCGAGGGGCCATCTCATTGTCGTCGATCCTCCGGCAGTCTCCACTCCACCAGCTGGCTTTGAAGGTGGAGCCTAGGGGCACGATATACATTCGCATGCGACACACGGATCCACTGGCTCTCTACAAGAGAAGGGGATTGCCCAGCTTGAGAGCTGGTTACCCTACACTCTTCGGCGCCGACTTGGAAACGGTGGTCAACCGGGAGTCTAAGAACGCGCCCGGAAGTGCACCCGTTCCCATCGTTTTGAGGCGCTGTGTGGAGGAGGTGGAGCGCCGGGGGCTCGATATAATCGGGCTGTACCGACTGTGCGGCTCCGCCACCAAGAAGCGACTGCTGCGCGAGGCCTTCGAGCGCAACAGCCGTGCCGTGGAATTGAGCCCGGAACATGTTCCTGACATCAACGTCATCACCGGCGTGCTCAAGGATTACCTCAGGGAGCTACCCGAGCCGCTGTTCACGCGCTGTCTCTTCCAGATGACGGTGGATGCCTTGGGTGAGGATTGAAATAGAACTGCCGAGTATTGTTGTGTGCAAAATTTATTGTGTTATTTTATATTCAGCTGTCTGCCTGCCAGATGACCCGGAGGGCAATGCGAAACTGATGCTTAGCATTCTCGACTGCCTGCCGCGGGCAAATAGGGTAAGCTTAACCTTTCTCCGCTTGAAAATTAAATTTCACCGATTTGCCTTGCCCCCACAGGCGACCCTGGTATTCCTGCTGGACCACCTGTCGTTGGTTGTTTCCAACTCGGAGCGGAACAAGATGTCGCCCAGGCGCTGGCCACCGTGATGGGCCCACCGCTGATGCTGCATTCGGCGAGTGCGCAGCCGGGCGCTGACATCGATCACGCCCAACCGATCGCGGTGCTCAAGTATCTGCTCCAGATCTGGCCGCAGCCGCAGGCGCAGCATCAGCAGATGGCGCAGCACATGGGCGGCGCTGCGGGGGCGATGATGGGCGGCTTGGCCACCGCCGTCAGTATGAGCAACATGGCCGGCGTTGCTTCAGGTAACGTACTCCCAGCGTCCGATCCCCCACCTCAGAGCAACCCGAAAGCCCCGAACCACCGACACACAAAGAGACACCGAATTTAGCCACCACACTTGCAAGAGTTTGATTCCTTGTTTCGTTTCCGCTTTGGATGCATCGCCGCATCAGCAGCAGTTCCAAGTCAAGATCTCTGCCACCCGCTCGCCCTCTTTTTCAATCTCAAGTGCGGCACGAAACCGTTCTCACTCTTAGCTGTTATGCAAACAAAACTCAGACACTGATACACACAGCCTCCAATCATCCAAGCCACCCACCACGGTTGCCACTATCGGTGCGATTTTGAGTTTGACTATGATAACTTGGTACACATGCATGCATACCTCGTACCATAAGGGGGTTTCTTACTCCAAATAGAGATCAGTAACAACTAAGACGAATAACGTAGACTTCCAAATACATAAATGGCTATGCAAAATTTTGAAGTACGGTATTTAAAGATAAAATCTATATGACTGAGTATTTGGATTCGCATACAAAATTAATTTATTTTACACAATTAAAGTTAAATCAAGAATTAGTTAAAGAAGAGTTGTATGTCCTAACAGCGATCAAGTGGCAACCGTGTTCCCCAATCACCTCACCCACTCAGCCACCGAGAAGACCTCGAACCGCGTCCACATTAATATTGATTAATACAGAGTCCTATGTAGACAGGTCGGCGCGGCGAGTCAACAGGGCAGCGTGGAAGCAAAGTCAGTGCGTTGCCAGCGGACAGACAGCAACTTCTACTGCAGCAGCAGGCGCAGCTCATGGCGGCGGGCAATCTTCTGCGCTCGTCCACTTCGGTAACCAACATACTCTCCCAAGGCCATCCTCAGCTCTCAGCCACAGCCAACAGTCATCTGTATCAATCAGTAGTGGGTCAGTTAGCTCAATCGCATCGAGCCTTGCAACAAGCGGTGCAACAGGTAAACAAACAGAATCCACACAACACAGCCACCACAACCAAACAGAGGCGATGCCGCGAACAATGAGAAACAATGATTGCAACATCAAAATACTTGACCAGAAATACCTGCATACAACTATATCATCCACATTAAACACACATCGCACTCCTTCATCCATTTTTGGTTAGGGTTGTGACAAGCGAGGGACATTTTTTTAAAAGCCTAAAATATATTCTTTGGATCCAATTGACCACTATTATTTTGATTGACCGTTCTTAATTGTGTCTAATTATTTAAAAAATTTTTTTAATTAAAGTTAAAAAAACATAGAATGAAAAATATTGATTTGTCGTTAAAACACTATTAATACCGATTACTTTTCGAATTTTTAATATTATAATCAATTCATTGAGTTTCTGATAGTTTATGGAATTTACGAATTAATTTTGTTAGAAAGCAGCCAATTTTCACTCCTATCAATCATTCAACACAAACCAAATCCATATAAACACAAACACATTCGAAACATTTTCTTGCTCTTCTTACTTTTCCTGTTGACCGTTCTGCAAAGATGATAATTACAAAAATATTTACCTACTGAACTATCAAATATATCTAAAGCATTATCTGTTGTCAGTTTGATTTGTGCTTTTTACGAAATACCAACGCAAAAGAAATATACTAAAGTAAATAATAAGTTGCTGTGATCCCTGATCGATAGACGTTGTAATTGTGATACAAATATATATATATATCTATCTATATAATATAACATACCAATACGATATAAGCGATGGTAATGATGATGATTTGAGCGATATGATAGGTGTTAAACGGCGTGTAAAGCATGATTGGCCCACTACTGGTAACAAATAAACATACTCGTAACGACTATTTCTACCACATGTATTCCACTCCAATCCATGTAAATCATGCGGCTCTGTATGCCAACACATGCCAAATGAAAGACCACATCATGTAAATGCTTCATTAACTTGTGTGCCACTGCCATTGTAAAAACTTCATCAATCAAAACCTAATTTGTGAATTGTTTACACCCCAGTCCCTCGAATAGATTTCAGTTTCCCTCGTTGGTTGAAGCTCACAGCCCAAATTAATTTTTTCAGAATCCAAAAGCACAGCTTATGTAGTGTAGAACATCTCAAAGGCGGGAGGGCAAATATTTCAGATAATTTGATTTTCTGCCCAAATTAAGTTGAAACTCGTTGAAGCTTCTTAGGTTACAATATTTGTCTTTTTGTTGGGGATGAAGTATTGTCCTTTCAGTTTTACTATCGCATTAAATAACTGTCCAGTAAACCCTTTTAAGTCAACTGCTCTCCGTTCATGCACATAGTTCGCTTTTAATTTTAAAAATTTACAAAAGAATTTTAAATAAATTCCATTCTATTGTTAACCTGTTAAAGGCGAATTTTATAAGTTTTTTTCACCTTGTTTGCATGTCATACACCTCACGCTTTGACCTCACCAACAACCTATCCAAAACCCACATATCCAACCCAAAATCCAATAAAAATATCTAATTGGTTAACGAATTGGCCGTCACCAGTACGAGAATCGCACCGCTCACGAAGATAAATTGTCTTTTGTCTATGATCTAAATGTGTCCGTTGTATGTGTCGCACAAATATCCACATGAAAACACCCATTAACACTCTAACACTACACCCCAAACCGATTCAAAATTTAAAATTCTCCCAGCACCACCCAAAACAAAGAATTAGCACGTATGCGCCCTTAACTCCCTTGAAAACTACTTGAAGCCGCTTGCCGATTAACATTTGACCAACTTGGCGGGTTCTCCCCTGCTCCTCTTTCTGTTTGCTAATCTCTTGCAGCCCTATCAATTGGGGGGCTCAGTGGGCTCAGCAATTCCCGACCAATCGCCACTGCCACTTCCAGGCACACCCTCCCCCGGCAGTAGTTCGGCGTCGACGGGCTCGGGCTCCGGATCCGGATCGGGTAAAAGTAAGTAAAGAGAAATGCCCTTACAAATCAGTCAAGTCAGTGCGTCTGCGTTTGCTATTGGAGGGAAAGGATTACGTGGCTAATGCTCTTGTAATCTCTTGTAGGCACGGATACCATCAAGCGCGGTGCTTCTCCCGTCTCGGTGAAGCAAGTTAAGATCGTCGACCAGCCATCTAGCCCCTATTCCATCGTGATGAAGAAGCCGCCGCTGCAGAAGGACGCGCCCGTAGAAATCACCACGCCCACAGCCCAAGCGGAGGCAGCCTCATCCCTGGGCGGCAGCACTAGAGACAAGGAAAGCAATGGGACAGTATCTCGCAGGGGAAATGTGGACTTCTATGAACCGCACAAAGCGCAGTCCAAGAGTTTGGTGACCGAAGAATCCAGCTACACCTCCAAGTACTCCAGCTTGGAAGCTAAGAAGAGCAGCTTCGGCAACAGTAGCTACACGCCAAGCAAGGCGAATGCCAGTGGACTCTCCGCCGGCGAGGACTACAAGGCCATGCGTAACAAGTCGAGCGCCACATCCAGCTCTAGTTCGTCCCAGGCCACGGTTCTGAGTGCTGGCTCGACGGCCACCTCAGCCCCGACCACCTCTTCGGACGATTCGGATGATCTGGTCTCCTACAAGTCCTCGGCCTCCACAAATGCTTTGCTAGCCCAATCGCAGGCCATGACCACCAGCCAGCTGATGTCCAAGTATCTAAAGCGGGAGCCACGAGTGCAGTTTACGCCGATTAAGTCCCCGGACTCGCCCTCACCTCCGGGAGGCGGCGACGGGCTGCCCAAGGGGACTTACCAATTGGTCACGCCAAGCTCGGGATCATCGAGCAAGCCGGGTGCTACCACTGGAGCTATTAGCAAGTACACCACCAGCTCAGCGGACTCGAATACAAACACAAACAGCCAGAAGTTGTCATCGCCCTCGCGACTGTCCAGCAGCAAGGATAGCAATACAAAGACGGGAGCGGTCAGCAGCACCACTGCTTCGTCTTCGCTGGTTTCCACTGGTCGTCGACTGTTCGACAGCCTGGCCTCTTCATCGTCCTCGGAAACGGAAACTAAGACCTACATAGGTGGCACCACTGCGGTTAGTGGGGCAAGTGCGACGGCATCCTACACTAACGACACCAGGAACTCCGGCAGCAGTAGCAGTAAGTCGGGAATGGGAGGGGGGTCTGGGTTGGGAGCGGTTTCGGGAGCAAACTCCGAGGGTCGAAGTTATGGCAGTACGCTCTTCGGCAGCAGTGGCCTGGGAAACGGCAGTGGCAGTAGCCACATCCACTCGAACGCCAGTCCCAGTCCCTTCACCACCACCAACGGCAACGGCAACCACAATACCATGCACCTGTACGGCACTTTGCCCAAAAATGGAGCTTCTACGGGGGCAGCTCTGTTCAGCGGATCAGCCAACAGCTCCTCGTACCACTCCGCGGGGAGTGGAAGTGGAGCAGGAACCGCCAGCAGCAGCGGGGTTAGTTCCATGACGGGCTCCACCAATAGCTACGACTTCTACACGAGCAGTAGCTCCAGTGGCAGCGGCTCGCGACCCTTTGCCAACGGGGGCAATAACTACCACACACTGGGAACCTACAGGGCCCAGTACGCGGCCACTAATCCCTTCCTAGATGCGTTCGATGAAAAGCCGGGCAGCAATGGGGGTAATAGCCACGGGGAGGAGAAGCTAGGCGCGGACAAGGGTCACCACAGGGCAGCTGTAATGGCGGCTTTCCAGTCGTCGGGAGACTCAAAAAACGGTAGCGATGAGTATGACGATATCAAGTGAAGTACGAAAAGTGCTATAAAGTGCGGCTAGAAAGGAGGAAATTAACTGCAACTACGATTATACGCGTAAAATGTGCGAAACTATGAGATATTTAAATGAAAGTTTACTTTTAAACTTTAGTTCTCATTCTAACTATATACAACAACTTGGAATAATTGTGATTTTATTTCCTTGAATCTTTTCATCAGAAAGGGCAAAACGTTAAAGCTTTTTCCTACCACTTTCTTGTAAATAATATCATTCAAAATCTTCATTGCAATGCGTGCGTATAAGCGTAGTTACTTAACGAAAGAGTACGAAAATGAATGCCATACAATGCTGAAAGTGTTCTTTTGAAGTATTTACAGTTTACAAATTTACAAGATACGAAAGATAAACGAATATAAACCCCTACAAATAAACGATATGAAACGATTTTGCAAACAGCGTCAAGTCCCTATCCCATGGAAGCCCAATGGCAATCCACTAAAGCAAGCAGAATATAAAATTATATAGTCATCGAGCTCTGTGTATGTGTGTTTATAAATACTTAATGGAAGCTTATCATTGGTAGCTTTAACACTTCTGTAACGCTCAACAGTGGGCAGCCATTCAGCTAACATAAATCCGAATTCAATAAGATTTACGAACAGTATTTTTGAATGAACAAAAACATAAATTAAAGACCACAGCGTATACAACAAAGTACATTTAAATAAAATAAAAAGAAAATCTTAAACAAAAGGTTGATCGCGCATTTAATTTTTACAAACAAACAATCTCTATATAAACATATATGCCTCTAATAGACATACAATTACGTTGATAACATATTTTTTCGTACTCCCATTTCGCAGTGAAAGCTGTATATAAAAAGCTGCTAGTTCACCACTTCCTATCCCTAATCTAGCCACTGCTATGTGTGTGTTTCAATGTGACCAACTCTCTAATCTGTAAATCCAGTATACATGACTATGACAACCTATCTAAATTAACTATTGGACGACTTTTTAAGCAACATGTGTATTTGCCTAAAATGTTTCTCTATGCCCATTATATATAACTCTGTATACACGTGCATATGTGATTGGGAGTACCGATCGATTCGGGCTACAGCCCTGGGAGAAACGTATATTTCGATCATTTCAGATCAAACTCTCGAAGCGGGTTCCCCATATGCAGACACCACACGGATACTGACATGCAAAATACAAATACTTGAATTTATTGACGAATCGATGTGCTTAGTTTTTGTATGAAACAAAGTCTGATATACACACTAATATACACCAGTACAGTATAATATTTATAAACATTTAAACATAATTATACAAGCGATGAAAACTAACAAAAAGAAAAGTAATGCTAAAAATATATACTACAAAATAACAAGCTTTGCGATTAAGGAGAATTTTACAGCAGTTATGTTTTCAAAGCTTTTTACAATGTATGACCAACTGTGCTTAATCCCAATCATATAGTAAATTACATTTAAACAAGCATATAACGAACTCAATGGCATAAAACCCTATAAACTACTTTCGAATACAAATGCTACGGAACTGTAAATACCCAGAAAGATATTCACCTCTCTGGTCTGGCAGTCAAAAATCGTCAGTTGAAGCTAGGTCCTAGTCATAGGCTTCGTCGGTCAATACACATAGCTTACAGTAACGTATTATTTAAATTAGGTTTAACAGAAAGCATCGTAAGCAATAAAATAACAGCTAGGCGAGAAGAAAATAGGAAAGCTAAGAAAATAGATTCAGAATCCGATAAAGATTTATGTTAGCAACCAAAAATGCATAATCATTCGTCTTCATACAAGTACAACTTCCCTCAGCAGTTCAACAAAATCAATTTAAAAAATAGATCTAACTAATCATATACAAATTCATAATACATTTTTCATAACTATTCAAAATCATATAGTCCCATGCGTAAACGCAACTATTAGCAAGATTGTGCATTATTTGATTTTAACAATTAATACGGAATAGGGATTGATGAGGAGCCCGAGAACGCGTTGAGATTTTAAATAGCAAATTATTCAGTTAATTGTTGTCAGATTTATTTTATACGAATGAAGAGCATTTGAAGTGTTAAACATGATTATGAAACCAAAGAGTTAAGAACCACAACATAGGCAACCATATAGTTGAGGCAAATTGATTTTTATATAGTGAATTGTTAATTATTGCATATAGCGTGTAGAGTTTTTAAAAGTCGAAAATAAATGTAGTGGCAAGACCGAAGAGTTTATTTGTGGGGTTCGCGACATTCGAGCCAAATTAGCTGCCCAACCTGTTTATTGATTTTAAGATTTTAACGTCGTAAATACCAAAGAAAAGTCAATGTTACTACAGCTGTCGCCTTCGTTTTAAACACACGTAATACTCTAATGTCCCTAGTAGCTCCCCAAACCCTTTTTCTTGATTTGTTCACCCCAAAAGCTTTAATCGTTGAACGACCCGAAGGTTACAAATTCGAGACATATTCTACATATACCAAATAATAGTAGCGGAGTAGGTGGAGGTTATAATGAGTAGGACAACACTTCGTTTTATTTGCGATTCGTTGTGGCTTCATAGTCGTAGATAGCTTAGGCCTAAGATGTGGGAGCTGGTGGAGAATCGGAGGTGGTCAGTTGGTGGTGGATGGAACAACTGGAGGCTGCGACTGCGAGGGCGCCTGTTTGGCTTTTGTCGCTTGGAGCTGCTTCTTTGATCCCGGTCCTGTTCGATATGTATTTGTACTTGTACTTAGAACTTGTAAGCATACACTATGGAATATATATCACTGTGTCATATCGTACATTTAAAGCCAGTAAGGCAACCAAATTGGAGGTGGACGAAGCAACCAGAAGAGGGTAAATTGTTAACGCAAAGTATTCACTTATTGAAGTATGTATACAAACCTACATTTATAGCGACCGAGCAGCAACTACATAATATACATAGATAAATACCAAACTAAACCTTAACACGATTGGCAGGCAACCAAGTACTACAAATTGTATATGCATTTAATTTAGAGTAACTACAACTAACTAAACACTAAATAACTGATACGAAAACCAATCCAACTGTTAGCTGGCGAATGACAACGGCAAATGAATTGATAATACGCTAACACATTAGGCATTAATGTTAGTTAACAGTGAATGAAACAGAAACGAAATGTATTGCACAATATCGAACACATATAAATATTAGCGAAAGTAACTAAGCCTACGCAAATAAGGCACATACGAATAGTATCCGAATACGTAAGCAATGGTGGCAGAATGCAGATTCAGATTTCATTACAGTTATGTTCAAAACTCGATCTCGAAATCGGATCTGCAGTCGACCGATACCACGGCGGAAATCTCGGATAGTTTGAAAGGGAGCTCAGTTGTATTGTTTGGATAATTTGGATAATGAATACGCCTAAGTATATATAAAGAATGTGTGAATTTATGTATGTATTAAATGTGCCTACACTTTCGTTTATTTTCGAACCACAAAGATCCTTCCGCCCACACACTTGAACTGTTAATTTCCGCCCCACTTTAAGAACCCTTTGACGCTTTACGGGGATTTTTTTTGGGTTTTCGAGCGATTTGCAAGCGATTGCAATTGAGGAGAAGATTTTTTCTGTCGAACTTAACAAGTAAATGGAGACCAAATGCTCAGGGCTTTAGCGAGTTACAGTAGGCGTAAAATACAAAAACAAATATGGGGAGACCCACCTAAGAACTAAGTGCAACACATCACGAGCATACTCCATCAAACGTTAGGCCAATGCATTTTAGTTGAATATTTAGCTCTTGTCATCAGCAGCAGAAGCGGCGGGTGCAACACCAACATCAACAATAACAACAGCAGCCACAACAAGAACAATCCAGCAAACAAATTTACAAAATCCAAGCAATCAATTTGTTGAAAAGACTGAAAACCATATAAAACAAAAAGAAAAGGAAACAAAACTATACCAACAACTAAAAACTCCCTTGCAAATGAAGAAAGGGTTCATAGAGACCGACATCAATCCAAATATATGCAAGCAAAAGTAATTTGAAGAAGATCCCCAGTCGTATGAAGTGTCAGAGTTTTCCTTCTGTTTGCGATCATTTGAAACGTTTCGGTTGAACCATTTTCTAGCGCGTCATTGAACTTTATCAAAGTAACATAACAAACCTTAAAGTAATAGTGAAATATTAGCGGAAATAATAAAAATATTACCACCAGCATTTTGCTACCTACTTAATATGCAAGTTTAATAATAAAATGCAATAAGAAATAGATTAACAAATAGTTCAAAACTTATCGAAAAGAAGGAGGAAAGTTTTCAGGTAGGGAAGTAAACAATACCGAATAGATCTATCGCAGAAGTATCACACTCTTCCAGGGCGTTGTGCAAAATTAATACCGATTTTATTAAACTTTTAAATCATTTTCAAAAAACCCACCATAAGAGGAAGCGAACAAAATAAAGCTAAAGTAAATGAATACCGTTTCCGTTTGCTAAACTTTTTTCTTCATTGGTCCTCCCATACTAATGACATATGAACGAAACCCAAACAATTAAAAGTTAAAAAACTTACATATGTATATATCTCAATATCTTATTGCGGATACCCATACCTTAAACGCAGACCCAGTGGACAGGCTAATCCACGTCGGTGCAAAACCCCATCCTACCAACTGACACGAACGTATTGCGAGGCGAATTAGCGAGGATTCGTTAGAACGGATAATACTCTGATTTACCACTGCCACAAAGAAACAAACAAGTAAATTGTATCGTTAATATAGATATAATAAAGCCGGTACATTATACAGATACTTTGCATATAGCGTAAAATTAAATATTGAGAAGTAACTAATTTGACAAGGACACGTCGGAAATTCATTGCAATTATATAGTATGCATTGGCGGACGTGCATGCAGCGTCTGCGTGTATGTGATTGCCCAATGAGCAAGTAAACTTAACGTTATAATTTATTCCGAACAAATAACAATAATAATTATCGCATATTACGGAAAGCAAATGCAAATGCAAACTAAAACAGAAATCGTTCTTTGCGTGAGAATAAAGCGATGTTACATTATTTAATGAAAATATATATACATATAAATACAAATATATTTTGGTATTTTTATTGCTTTACGGAGTTCATTTTTCGTTTAGGTAAGTAATTTAGCGAAGGTCTTTTAACACCGAATTTAAATTTGGCAAATCCCCATTAAAACAAGGACGAAGGTAATTGCCTCAGCTACGAATATTTCCTAAATCTATATGAAAATACGTGAGTCGTGAGCTCTGAGCTGGCCAAAACAGTCATTCTCCTAAATCTGCATGGAAATTATGTGGATCGAAAGCTCTGGTTGTTAGCTGGTCAGTACAGTCATTCTTTTAGCTGAGACCCCTAAATTACCCAAGTTAGGACCAAAAATCACCGAAAAAATCCTGTTTTTTGCCATTAGTTGTCAATCCCAATTTTGCACTAAAAATTATAAGTTTTTGCCCAAAACAACGCAACAAATGGTCCAAATGCGGAGTGTCATACCGCGTTGAATTCGTAATAAAATTCCAATCGATTGGCATTTAAACCTGACAACTTTAATTTTTCCCGATTTTTGCAAAAAATTGTGATGTAAAACCTTACAAAAAATGCAAAATTGTCAAAAAATTAAAGTCTCCTAAATCTGCATGGAAACTATGTGGATCGTAAGCTCTGGTTGTTAGCTGGTCAGAACAGTCATTCTTTTAGCTGAGACCCCTAAATTACCTAAGTTAGGACCAAAAATCACCGAAAAAAATCCTGTTTTTTGCCATTAGTTGTCAATCCCAATTTTGCACTAAAAATTATCAGGTTTTTGCCCAAAACAACGCAACAAATGGTCCAAATGCGGAGTGTCATACCGCGTTGAATTCGTAATAAAATTTCCAATCGATTGGCATTCAAACCTGACAACTTTAATTTTTCCCGATTTTTAGCAAAAAATTGTGATGTAACCCCTTACAAAAAATGCAAAAATTGTCAAAAAATTAAAGTCTCCTAAATCTGCATGGAAACTATGTGGATCGTAAGCTCTGGTTGTTAGCTGGTCAGAACAGTCATTCTTTTAGCTGAGAACGCCAATTTAGACAATTTACGACCAAAAATCACCAAAAAAATCCTGTTTTTGCCATTAGTTGTCAATCCCAATTTTGCACTAAAAATTATCAGGTTTTTGCCCAAACAACGCAACAAATGGTCCAAATGCGGAGTGTCATACCGCGTTGAATTCGTAATAAAATTTCCAATCGATTGGCATTCAAACCTGACAACTTTAATTTTTCCGATTTTTAGCAAAAAATTGTGATGTAACCCCTTACAAAAAATGCAAAAATTGTCAAAAAATTAAAGTCTCCTAAATCTGCATGGAAACTATGTGGATCGTAAGCTCTGGTTGTTAGCTGGTCAGAACAGTCATTCTTTTAGCTGAGAACGCCAATTTAGACAATTTACGACCAAAAATCACCAAAAAAATCCTGTTTTTGCCATTAGTTGTCAATCCCAATTTTGCACTAAAAATTATCAGGTTTTTGCCCGAAACAACGCAACAAATGGTCCAAATGCGGAGTGTCATACCGCGTTGAATTCGTAATAAAATTTCCAATCGATTAGCATTCAAACCTGACAACTTTAATTTTTCGCGATTTTTTGCAAAAAATTGTGATGTAACCCCTTACAAAAAATGCAAAAATTGTCAAAAAATTAAAGTCTCCTAAATCTGCATGGAAACTATGTGGATCGTAAGCTGCTCTGGTTGTTAGCTGGTCAGAACAGTCATTCTTTTAGCTGAGAACGCCAATTTAGACAATTTACGACCAAAAATCACAAAAAAATCCTGTTTTTGCCATTAGTTGTCAATCCCAATTTTGCACTAAAAATTATCAGGTTTTTGCCCAAACAACGCAACAAATGGTCCAAATGCGGAGTGTCATACCGCGTTGAATTCGTAATAAAATTTCCAATCGATTGCATTCAAACCTGACAACTTTAATTTTTCCCGATTTTTGCAAAAAATTGTGATGTAACCCCTTACAAAAAATGCAAAAATTGTCAAAAAATTAAAGTCTCCTAAATCTGCATGGAAACTATGTGGATCGTAAGCTCTGGTTGTTAGCTGGTCAGAACAGTCATTCTTTTAGCTGAGACCCAAATTACCAAGTTAGGACCAAAAATCACCGAAAAAAATCCTGTTTTTGCCATTAGTTGTCAATCCCAATTTTGCACTAAAAATTATCAGGTTTTTGCCCAAAACAACGCAACAAATGGTCCAAATGCGGAGTGTCATACCGCGTTGAATTCGTAATAAAATTTCCAATCGATTGGCATTCAAACCTGACAACTTTAATTTTTCGCGATTTTTTGCAAAAAATTGTGATGTAACCCCTTACAAAAAATGCAAAAATTGTCAAAAAATTAAAGTCTCCTAAATCTGCATGGAAACTATGTGGATCGTAAGCTCTGGTTGTTAGCTGGTCAGAACAGTCATTCTTTTAGCTGAGACCCTAATTAACAAGTTAGGACCAAAAATCACCGAAAAAATCCTGTTTTTGCCATTAGTTGTCAATCCCAATTTTGCACTAAAAATTATCAGGTTTTTGCCCGAAACAACGCAACAAATGGTCCAAATGCGGAGTGTCATACCGCGTTGAATTCGTAATAAAATTTCCAATCGATTAGCATTCAAACCTGACAACTTTAATTTTTCGCGATTTTTTGCAAAAAATTGTGATGTAACCCCTTACAAAAATGCAAAAATTGTCAAAAAATTAAAGTCTCCTAAATCTGCATGGAAACTATGTGGATCGTAAGCTCTGGTTGTTAGCTGGTCAGAACAGTCATTCTTTTTGCCCAAAACAACGCAACAAATGGTCCAAATGCGGAGTGTCATACCGCGTTGAATTCGTAATAAAATATCCAATCGATTGGCATTTAAACCTGACAACTTTAATTTTTCCCGATTTTTAGCAAAAAATTGTGATGTAACCCCTTACAAAAAATGCAAAAATTGTCAAAAAATTAAAGTCTCCTAAATCTGCATGGAAACTATGTGGATCGTAAGCTCTGGTTGTTAGCTGGTCAGAACAGTCATTCTTTTAGCTGAGAACGCCAATTTAGACAATTTACGACCAAAAATCACAAAAAAAATCCTGTTTTTGCCATTAGTTGTCAATCCCAATTTTGCACTAAAAATTATCAGGTTTTTGCCCGAAACAACGCAACAAATGGTCCAAATGCGGAGTGTCATACCGCGTTGAATTCGTAATAAAATTTCCAATCGATTGGCATTCAAACCTGACAACTTTAATTTTTCGCGATTTTTAGCAAAAAATTGTGATGTAACCCCTTACAAAAAATGCAAAAATTGTCAAAAAATTAAAGTCTCCTAAATCTGCATGGAAACTATGTGGATCGTAAGCTCTGGTTGTTAGCTGGTCAGAACAGTCATTCTTTTAGCTGAGAACGCCAATTTAGACAATTTACGACCAAAAATCACAAAAAAAATCCTGTTTTTGCCATTAGTTGTCAATCCCAATTTTGCACTAAAAATTATCAGGTTTTTGCCCGAAACAACGCAACAAATGGTCCAAATGCGGAGTGTCATACCGCGTTGAATTCGTAATAAAATTTCCAATCGATTAGCATTCAAACCTGACAACTTTAATTTTTCGCGATTTTTGCAAAAAATTGTGATGTAACCCCTTACAAAAAATGCAAAAATTGTCAAAAATTAAAGTCTCCTAAATCTAAGTCTCCTAATCTGCATGGAAACTATGTGGATCGTAAGCTCTGGTTGTTAGCTGGT